ATCTGGCAGCTCACTGATATCCCCTTTCGCTCCGCGTAGTTGATCGCATCGCGCCCATTGATGTTAGCACACTGATTCGCCTTGATACTCGTCAGCTTCGGAAGTTTGTCTGCCAACATCTTGATGGACGCCCCAGTAATGTGGGTATGCGAGAGGTCGATTGTCTTGAGTCCTGTCGGGTACATGAGGAGTCTCTCTATCTCATCGTCATTGCAGAGCGTTGTGGCAATATCCAAGTGCTCCAACGCTGGCGTGAGGACGCGTGGGGAAAAGCCGAATATGGACTCCGTTTGCGCAGAAGGCCCTCTTCCGAACATGTCATCTGAAATATCATCGATTAGGCCGTGCAGGGTTAACGATTGCAAAGGTTTTCGTGTTGAGCATGTTGCCGTTTCACTCTCGTGGAAACAGATGTCTAGTAGGTTTCCTAGTGTTTCTGGCTCCAGGCCTTTGAAGCCAGATATGGCTAGGTGTGTGAGCTCTGGGATACAGCACTGGTGCAAGAACAGGCTTTGCTGTAGGTTCAATCCACCACCGTCGTTTTCGATGACCAGTCGCTGTAGCGTCGGCGGGAGAAGAGGAAACTGCAGGAGGTCCATCCGCTTCAGCGCCAGGCTTTTCAGTGGTGGTAATTGAGCTTCGTCTCTGGGCCATCCTTGTCGAGAGTCAAGATGTTCTACGTTGGAGAGTGCTAAGGATTCAAGGCATGGCGTTTGTGCAAGGAGCTCGTGTAGCCTGAGATTGACCGTCGAGACGGGGGACGACCAATGCATGCCGAGTGTGCGGAGATTCCCAAATGAAGTTGTCCAGTTAGTGGCGGCCCCGCGGGACCTCAAGGCGCCGAAGACCACGTGTTTCAGTACAGGCCTCGCATGCATTATCTGCACTGCAGTATCTTGCGTGATCTCTGGATGTATCGTGAACTTCTTCAAATTTGGAGCGCTTTTGACAATGTCAATCAATGTGGCTGACATGGTGTGTGGCAAGGAGATGAGCTCTAGTTCTGTAAGGTCTTTCGCTGCTTTCGCAAGATTCTTCAGTACGTCCATGTGTTCGAAACGATGGATCGTGACGCGCGTCATTCGGTATTCCGAGCGCTTGAACGCTGTATTGACGAAAGAACGAGGGACTGGTCGGCGGGCGCCGGAGAGATCGAGATGCATCCAAAGCTTAGGTAACTTGGAGAGATAGTCCCTCCATCCCGGGCTGACGCGCATGCAGTTGACCATGTGGCGGAAGGAGCAATAATCTAGTACCATTTCCGCTAGCTCGGCGGGCAGAACTGTGAACGGATCGATGGCTGATGCAGGTGATAGTTTTCGAGTGGACTTGTCGTGGAGTTGTTGCAAGAGCTGTCGCCAGTCAGTAATCCATGCAAAAGACAGAGTGGAAGATGTGTCCTCATAACAGGACAAATAATACATCACCTACCTTGAAGTTCTTGTCGCTAGGTGGCACATTCTTCATTCCATACTTGTAAATCCCAAGCGCGGTCTCAGGTTTCTCCAATTTCTCAAGAATACTCGCTGTGCGTAAGTAACCCTTGACATCTTTCTTGTTCAACCTGATCATTTCTCTGCCATCTTTGACCGCAGCGTTGAGGTTTCCAAGCTTGTCGTACGTCGCAGCCCGATGATCGTACAGATCCGCGGTTGGACAAACCTCGATACCTTTCGAAAAGGTTTCCAAGGCTTTCTCGTATTGTTTCAGCTTATAGTAGCTGCGCCCGATCGCCTGGTACTCTTCTGGGGACATTCTGCGCGCCATGGTAATGAGAGCGGATGATGTTTACTAAGCCGAGATGGTATCGTTGGGTAGCGGCCAAACACAGGGTACGTAGTGCGATTGTGCCTAGTCGCCCAATGGAGCTGCGCAATTACGGACGAGGATCTCCCGGATGAATCAAAATGATGTGCGACCGAAGGCTTCGGAGGGCTATTGCTGTAGATCTTCCACGCGTGAGATGAAATATGCCAGTTGCGGTGTTGAGGTCGCGGGAGTGGAGTGCTTACGTGCCGGCGACGCGTCGAAAGACACGCTAACACATGACGTGATCCGTGCGCGCATGCCTCATCGTCCACGGGCGCGGCGAGCTTGCCAACTCCACCTCTGAAACTATTTCCATCAATACGGTAGCAATATGTAATGAACACCTGTGGTGGTGGTCATATTGATCTAATCTACTGGACTGTGCGTCGCTGGTAATTGTGGTCGGCCATCACAACAGTGTCACACTTCTGACAGCTCGCCCGAGGTCACGTCTGGATGAGCCTCATGCGTGGTCCACGCGAATGGTGCTGGATGACATACCGCTACACTCAAAATCCTTGGAGATATTGCCCGCCTGTGATGAGAGTGCTACGGCTCGTTTGCTCACAAGTTCCAGCTGGCACAGTACGAAAACTCAAACAGCAGGATGGAAATTGATGACTCTAGAAGTACCCGTTACCGCACTGGAAAAGCAAAGAGCTCGAACATGTGCTTCTACAGTGCAATCTCGAAAACAAAGGAAGCGGCCTGGCGTGAAATTAAGGAAGGAAGGACTTCGCAGGAAGAATGAAGCAGATGGAAAATGCGAGCAACTTTGGAAATCCGTAGACCCAGGAGGGTGTTCTTCCAGGGGTAAGAAGAGACACGCCAGCTACACCGAGGAGCCGCCTCGGTTCAATAGACGGGGAAACGACTGTCGACCGACTTCAGAGATGAAAGGCCCCCAGACCCAACTCTAGTCCGTCCGTGGGCCCGCTGTTCTGCGACTAGCATTGGCGACGACCTGGGCAATGCACGAGGGACCTGGTGACTTTAGCGATGGTGGGACACATGACTGTTGAGGAGGAGTAAATCCTGGAGATGGTGGGATCCCCACACTATCTTGGGACATCGGATGGATTTATCGGACATTGGCAGCATCCTTGGTACAGAGGTTAGGTCTTGGGATCGGGTTGACTAGGTCGCTCCGATGGCAAGTCGGAGGTCGAATCAGTCGGGGCAGTAGGACGCCTTTATGCGGCTGAAATACAGTGGATCTGTCAACCATGACCTTCGCATCGAACCGAGACGCAAGAGCTAGGGATCGTAGCAGAATGTCCTTGATTTTGATCTCCGCCGTTTTCCCCAGTCCCAGAGTCCTGGCAATGGGGTCGACGATGGTAACCAAGTGGGATCAAAACAGCAACTCGGTGGAGGTCCGTCACGACGATAATGCATATTCAACAGTAATTGGCGGATTTTGGAACGACCCTGCGTTGGAGGGAGTGATGGAAAAGTGGAGTGTGATTATCAGTGTGATTATCAATACGGCATTTGCATAAAGCGGAGACCCCGACATTAGACGGCGGTTCCGGTGACAGACTGGAGTGTGTGCCGCTTGGCAGGGACTTGAGCGAGAGTGCGGTGTAGTAGGCCCCGAAAGCGACATAAAATTGGGGTTGGCTGTTATATGTGGAGTTACCACGTCGTTGGGGCGTTTGGTGTGTTTTAGCACACGATATGGGAGCCGTCTTTTCCGGCATGTGGAATGCTCGCGGGAGCATAATTTGGGGCGGATTGATGGGGTACTGGAGAGATCGGCGCAGTTTAGCTGGGTCCTGGGGTAGACTTGTCGGTATGAAGCACTTTCGTAGGCTGCGAGGACTGCTTTCGGTGGTGTTGCTGCCGCTGTTTACTCCCGCCTGCGTGACGAGAAAGGAGCTGGGTCAGTGAAATGCGCCCGGATGTCCCGAAACAGGAAGGCCCGAGATCTGCAAGAAAATGCACATGTCAGCCTCATCCCCACGCTAGCTTGCGAACTCCACACGAGCCTCTCCCGACTACCAAGCATGCATTGGCAATTTGTCCCGCCATGGCAGAAAGCGCGACCGCGCCTACCGAGCAGCATCCACGGCGCGACCAAGCTGATCGACCGCACGGCGAGAATATGTAGGAGAAGTGTCAGCAAACCAAGTGCGCTCCCGAAAGCCTGGGCAAATCCTCGGCTGTATAGCAACTTAATCTGAATGTCTCGAGAGATGCCGCTATCACGTGCGTCGAATCGTCTCCCGGCCGGCAGTGCCGCCCGACGTTGCTGCACTCCTTCCCAGGAAGTACAGCCGACCATCGACCATCACAGCAACCATCGTCACCGTTGCAGCACATGGCGTGTTCAAGCTCCACCAACTGCAGTCTCTATTAGTTAAGATCATCGGCCAAGCTGCAAAGGCTGCAGAGCCGCATGCGCACGGTTGGTCAGACCCTGCATGGGGACGGACGCGAGTCGCCGGTGCATGACGTCAAGCGCCCTCTTGTTGAGACTGAAACCGTGCCTTATGGGAGGAATTAGCACGCTATCCGTACACGGCGGCATGTAGCCCGAGATGGTGCCTACGACCTACACCGGTGTCCTAGTCGACGACGAAGTTCCTGCATCATCTTGACATGCGTACCGTAGATTTTGACAGGCGGTTGCGGGTGGCGTAGGCGGCGAAGAAACTTCTTCCAGCCTTCTGTGCTGACTGGCGAACCCATCGTTCACCAATCGTTTCACCTGCGTCTTCCCCAGGCTGACCCCAAGCCCTGCGCACATGACGTAATGTGGAGGTAACCTCGGGCTAGGAGCAGAGACATGCTGTGCCGAGCGCGCTTGTTGGACTGCAAGCGTCCTCCGCTCTTCTCCAAGATTGGCCCAAGATGGCTTGCTCCACCAACAGACCCTGTTAGGTTCGCCTTTGTATCCACAGTTTATTTGCGCCTCTACCGCCCGCACCTCAGGCTCGCATACTGCTACACCAGCCAAGGCCAAGATGTTGGAAAAAAATCGTTATCTAGTTTTCTCCACGCGTCAGTCGGAATCTTGGTAGCGTATCTTTTAGTGGGCCGAGGGTAGACGACCAGTAACCACGTTTCTGCCGAACACCCTTGTACGCAACGGACGATGATCATTTAAAGCTCTACTCTCTCCCCACGGATCTTTCCTCCCCAGCATCTCCTCACTCCTCTCCAGTTTCCATCGATACAACGCAACCATGCCGCCACGTATCAAGGAGTCCGAAAATGGTGTTCCCACCTACTGGGGCAAGTCCGGCAGGGCCCTCCAGGTTCTCATCACCATCGTTGCTGTTACCGACTTCCTGCTCTTCGGTTATGACCAGGGTGTCATGAGTGGAATCATCTCCGCTCCCGCCTTCCAAGCCGCGTTCCCTGAAGTCATAGATGACTCTACCTACGAGGGTTTCGTCGTCTCCATCTATGCCGTCGGTTGTCTGCTTGGTGCCATCTTCGTCTTCGTCTTTGGTGACAAGCTTGGACGCCGCAAGAGTATCTTCCTGGGTGCCGGAGTTATGATCATCGGTGTTATCATTCAGATTGCCTGCGTTCCTCCCAACAGCGGTGCTACCGCCCAGTTTATTGTCGGACGATGCATTACTGGTGTCGGAAACGGTATCAACACTTCTACCATTCCTACCTACCAGGCTGAGTACGTCGACCCAAAACCTGCTCTTTCAAACAACTACTGACTATTTCCAGGTGCTGCAAGGCCAAGAACCGCGGTAAAGTTATTTGCATCGAGGGTTCCATGGTTGCCATTGGTACGCTCATCGCCTACTGGATCGACTACGGCTGTCTCTACGGTCCCGATGACTTCACCTGGAGATTCCCCATTGCTTTCCAGTGTGTTTTCGCCATGATCGTCATCGTTATGATGATCTCGCTACCCGAATCTCCTCGATGGCTTCTCAACCACCATCACGAAGACGAAGCCGCTACTGTACTGGCTGGTCTCAACGGTGTTGCCCGCGACGACCAAGAGGTCATTGTCCAGATGCAAGTCATTCGTGATGCAGTCAGCGCATCTGGTGGTGGCGGCAAGGTCCCTACTAAGGCTCTTCTTACCGGCGGCAAGTCCCAGCACTTCCGTCGTGCTATCCTCGGTGCTTCCTCGCAATTCATGCAGCAATTGTCTGGTTGCAACGCTGTCATCTACTACTTCCCCATTCTGTGCCAGAGCGCCTTGAACACCGACCACAACCTCGCCCTTCTTCTCGGAGGTGTCAACATGGTTGTTTACGCTATGTTCGCCGCTACCTCTTTCTACTTCGTTGAGCGTGTCGGCCGCAGAAAGCTGTACCTCATCGGTACCGTCGGTCAGATGACTGCCATGATCATCACCTTTGCCTGCCTGCTCCCCGGTGGCGTTGAGAACGAGGACAACGAGGGACCTGCCAAGGGTGCCGCCGTCGGTCTGTTCTTGTACATCGCGTTCTTTGGTGTTACATGGCTGCCGCTTCCGTGGTTGTACCCTGCCGAGATCAACCCCCTCAAGACCCGCCAGAAGGCCAACGCTTTCTCGTAAGTTATCACTGCACCCATTCTATAAAAGACAACGCTAACAGAAGGTCAGAACAATCAACAACTGCACGTTTTCCCGTCTAATGATTCATTCGAGACGATTGCTAACATCCTGATAGGGCTCTGGAACTTCTTCATTGTCATGATTACCCCCGTTTTGATCACCAACATCGGTTGGGGAACCTACCTCCTCTTCGCTGCTCTGAACGCCTCCTTCATCCCCGTCATCTACTTCTTCTACCCTGAGACTGCTGGTCGTTCCCTCGAGGAGATTGACCTCATTTTCGCCAAGGGTTACACCGAGAAGATGAGCTACGTGCAAGCCGCCAAGCAGCTTCCCAAGATGGACGAGGCTCAGATCGCCGAAGCCGTTCGCCAGTACGACCTCTCCGACAGCGACGTCGAGAACCGCTCCGCTGCTGGATCGCTCAAGGAGAAGCGTCAGCAAGACGAGGAGCTGATGCCTCAGGCCGGAGGTCAGATGTAAGATCTGAAACGTTGCAAGACGAAGATACGAGCGCTGGTCGTACATGATTGCGAATGAGCGCGCTGTGTGCGCTACGGTATCGTTGAGTCGTTACTTGTTATGCATAATGCCTGGAGGAACTATACCCGACGCACAAACGTCACCCATCTAGGCTTGAGATGCATGGAGGAATTTGCTAAGTCGCATGTCTTAAGGAATGCGCGAGTTTCGTTTTGTTTCTAATTGCATAGCATCGCTTTATACCATTGATCGACAGATGTCGTCAACCATAGAAATCTATGACTTTTCTCACTACATTGTGTCTCATCAACCCTTGAACGCGCACGCCCTGATGAACCGCCAGTACAATATCTCCTACTTAGATGAAGGCGGGCTTGAAGAGGAAAGCTTACAAGTACCAGTCGGCTGCCATGCTGGCGTGTTCGGACTCAGCGCAGGTGAGGTCGACCACCACGATTAAGCATTTGCAAGACCAGCATCGATGCGCAGCGCCAGATTTCGAGACTGCGATATAGAAAGCAGGGGAGTAAGGTAGCAGTGGAGCAGGCGAGCAGGCATTCAACCAAGGTCGGGGCATACCTTTTCTCCGTGGCCCTGAGGAGCCTGAGGGTCAGCACCGTCTGCAGTCTCACCTCCGCCTTCGGCAGGCGCAGCAATCTTGACAGGGGGAACATCATCGGTAAGCGCAGCAACCTCGGTAACGGAGATACCGACAAGCGGTTAATCTTTCATCTGATTGTCGGTCATTTCAAGGGTCTCCATGGCGGCAGTCGCATCAGCCACTTGCTCCTGCAGAAGGAGAGGCATGAAGTTAGTATATCTCTCACATGCACTTCGTCTAGCCAGAGCTTACCTCGTGCGCCGTGCTATCGTCATCCTCGTCATCCACGTCATCTTCGAGATAGTAGTCTTCAGGCTCAGTCCGTTCCAAAGCGGCACCCACTTCATCTAAATGTTCGCGCATATCGTTCATGTGCCTATCGAGCACAGCGTCCTCGCCCTCTGGATTCCAGCGCCTGACCACACGCCACAGCGTCTCTGCCTCCGCGTGACAGTTACTCGCGTCTAACCAGTTGCCCAGCGTTGAAGCCAACAAGAGGAGCGCTTTCATACGGTGGTATCGTGGTATAGCGTCGTCGGCGAGAAGCGCGCGGGTCTTTTTGATACACTCGTCCAGCCGATCGTTGTTGTAGAGTTCGCCTGCTTCGTTCAACGCCTTGGTGAAGGACTTGTCGATATCGCTGGCAGTGTTCATTCTGCTAAGTATCCACAGGCTTTATGGTATCTGTTGCTGGCTGTGAAGAGATCTGCACAATGGTTGTGTACGTGTTGTGGATGAGTGTGGGTGAGTGTGAGATCGCTGGATCCAACCTTGGAACCTTGGACAATTACTTAGATTTCACAACTATCCTGCTTACCAAAGTGCGGCTTCGTTGACAGTCTGAGCCAATCATAGGCCCCTGGCTCAAGTTGAACGCGCAATCTTTTCTTCGTTGAAGTTGAAGGTGTCTCGTCATAGTACGGAAGCAATCTTACCTATGGTGCTTGAACGAGTTAAGGCTTTTTGTATCAGTTAACACAAATCACACAATAGCTCATTATTACCGCAACGTTGGATGTATCCTACCAAAACAACTGTTGTGTATGTTTGGCACACCTCATGAGACCAAGTAGTTCTGTCGGGACTTCAAGGTGCTGCGAGGAACGCACGTGCCTCGGCAGTGTTCGGAACGTTCCGAACTCGCGCCTCGATGACACTTGGCTTCCATTCCACTCTTCGACACTTCGACCTTGCGTCCTCATGTTCCCACACCAGTGACCGAGCACTATGGCGATATCGAACGTGTCATTTGACACTCTGGGTCCTTTCCTAGTGTGGCAGTTTCTCATTCCCGTCGTAAGCTAGCCCTCACACCTGCGGCACGGCAATATCTAACGCGACACAGGCAGCGGGATGGGCCCAGTCCATTCTCTACAGCATCTTCATTCGCGCTGGCGACCCGAAACCGCAGCCCGGTACTCCGCGCTTCATAAAGCACCGCCGCAACATCTTGATCGCCATCTATGCCGCTTACTTCGCCTTCACCATTTACGAAGTCGACTTCAACTTGCAGCGCTCTAGCAATGCATACAACGACCTTGGTGTACCACTAGACGTCGACGAGAGCGCACTGAACACGCGATTCAGGAGGCTGACGATTCGATACCACCCAGATAAGATTGGGCCGAACGTGGATAGAGAGAGGGCAAATGACTTCTATGTCCATCTGAAGCGAGCCAAAGACATCATAATGGATCCTGTGAAGCGATTCGCATATGACCGCTTCGGGCCAAGCATCTTTGCGCAGTGCCAGAGTTGCTTGACTATCAAGGACTACACAGACAGTGCGCTGCTCACTACCGCTACCACCTACGGCGTACTCTTCATCATTCTGGTTGGCGCAAACGCCCTCGGCTTCCTGACAGACGGGTCCTACTGGCGCTACCTAGGACTTCTCGCTGTTGCGACTTTCGAAATCCGCACCGCTCTTCGTCCAGATTACCCCACCTTCCTCTCGAAATACCTGAACCCGTTTGTCGCGAGAACCAACCTCCGTCCTCCTTACCTACCCTTTCAAATCATCACCATATTGAAGAAAGCTGCGATATCTCTTACGCAGTTTCTCGGTCTGCTCATGCCACTTTACCGAAGTGACCCTCAACATGCCGCAAAAGCCAACGACGATACCGAAGATACTCGCCACAAGCAGCTTGATCGTCTCGGCGCGCTTGTTGCGGAGAGTAATAAGGATGCGAACAGACTGTTGGAGCTGGAAAGCGTGCCATACAGGGACAACGAGAGGGCAAAGGGTGAGCTGAGGGAAGCACTCAAGAAGTACATGGTTCAAAATGTGGTGCATCAGGAGAAGGAGGTGAGGAATGCTATGGGTGAGGTCATGATGCGGAGAAGGACGGGTGTGCCGCACGGTGCCGTAGGTACGAAATAGTACTAATCCGAGCTGACCGATATCCGTTACCAATCCACGGCTTTTCATTTCTGTTCTATGGATACAGCAAGAACCGCGCTTCTCGACTCTGTCTACCATGCTGCGCTGCCTGGTGTTTCTACTCATAATGTCAAGCTGATAACATGGTTGAATAATGGCAGATTAGAAAACCGGACAGAAGGTCCCTGTGCACCAGCGAACTCGTTCTCTATCAGGATGTATCGCAGGTCTATGAGCGGGTGATTACTACTATGGTTTTAGCCCTTTCATGCTAAACCCGACTTTTGCCCCCGCTACGGAGCGAGCCCGGCGATCCGCCAATTCCCCGCAGCCTCCCCACATCTTCTAGGACCATTCCAGCAACCTTTCCGACAACTCAATGGAACATCTCGCGGCCGTCGGAATAATCGCGTCCGCTTTAGCCTAGAAAGAGAGGCACGATGATGTCGATACGCTTTCTGTCATAGCTTTCGATGGCATATGAAGCTCGGATGGCCATGGGAATATGGACACCTCCTTCCATAAACCACCAACGATCTCAATACTCCCATAATGGCCTCACTCAGAGTCGCCGCCATTTCCCTTGCAGCCTCTGCTGTCTACGCATACCCAACGACAGACTATTCCGGAGCCGCATGTCTAAGCGTACCAAAGACAGCAGAAGGTGCTTCGATACCACATAGCAACTCCTTTGCTTCATTCTCGTTCGAACCTGCCTTCTGGGTTGAATTCTTCGGTAATGCTAGTACTCCCAACAACCTTACTTTCAGCGTCTTGGACAGAATCCATGAGCATGGTGGAAGTCCTGTCATACGACCTGGCGGCATCACCATGGACAGCATGATATTCGACGCTGACGGTGGCGACGTGGTGCGTACCACTAGTCCGGAAGGCGGCGTATGGCGGACCACAGTTGGACCCGACTACTACAAGAGTTGGAGTAATTTCCCCAATGGCACCAGGTTCATCTCCACTCTCAACTTCGGCAATGAGAGTTTGGAAATCTCTACAGGCCTTGCAGTCGCATCGCTTACCTATCAATCCGACAAGGTCGCGTACCTTGAGCTTGGTAACGAGCCGACCAACTATGACGAGAGCCGGTGGAATGACTCAACTGCAGCCTATGTGCAGCAATGGAAACAGTACACGGCTAGCATCGATACCGCGCTGGATGCTTTGAACAGTTCAGATCTACTCCAAGAGCGCTGGTGGGCATCTTCCGCCACGACTGATGACTCAGGACTCGAGGTTCGACCTGCTGCACTCATTCCAGCAGGCATCGACTCAGAGGATCAGGTCGGCATATATTCGATACACTCGTACGCCTTCTCAACCTGCGATCCAGAACGCGCTGCATTGGCTACCATCGAAAACATTCTCAATCACACCGAGCTCACACGCTACTGCGATGAAGAAATATATCCGTCTGCCCGCGCCGCTCTTGATGCCGGAAAGAATTGGAACATTGGCGAGTTCAATTCCGTCTCTTGCTCGGGAGCACCAAACGTTACCGATACATTTGCGCAAGCACTCTGGGTCATTGATAGCGAGTTAATCTACGCGACAAGGAATGCCAGTTCCACGCATCTACACCAAGGTGCTACGCTTGCCCTTCAGTCGGACGAACAGCTCAACACACCCGGTGCAAACGGTAGTCCAGGGTTCAGCACTTATTCAATGCTGTACCCTCGCGACACCGAGTTGAGAGGCCCGGCACGAACTCTGCCCTCTTTCCTCGCGCAGCTATTCATGGCTGAGGCCTTTGCTGTGCCTGACACTCGGGTTCGCGCTCTCGAGCCACCTGCTGGCGTTGACCCAGAGTCGTTCTCTGCATATGCGTTCTACGTCGACGATCACCTATCCAAGCTAGCACTCGTCAATATGAAGCCTTTCTACGCCAACTCGACAGATGACTTCTCGGTACATGTTGATCTATCGGGCGCTGTGGGTTCCGACGACGGATGCTTAGGTGTAAAGAGATTGACGGCACCATTCGTGAACACTGGGAATAGCTCCTTGACATCTTGGGCTGGACAGTCATTTCCTCAGGGTGAGCCGATGGGCAACGTGGTGGTTGAAGCGGTTGGGACAGATGCTGTAGTGAACGTGAGGGGTAGTGAAGCAGTACTTGTGTTCTTCGACAAAGACAGCATATATGGTCTATAGATGCTGGAAGTTATCTGGAGCTTCTAATATAAACGAATAATGGAGGCATTGCGATAGCAGTTGACAATTACGTACAGCGCGTGAAACGTGCATTTGTCGCGCAATCCCTTCTGCGAAATGGAAATGATCAGTCTAGGCTCTAGAATTGAGATGCTGGGATTGGCTGATCGTCATGGCGTTGCATCGTGGCTTAAGCCAAGCTGCGCTGGTGGAGAGGAGTCGCGATCCTTTGGCCCCTGTCGCTGGCTAGCGTATGTATCCTTTCGCTCACGTCAACGCAGCTTCCATCGAAGTCCTCTCACCAACACCAGCTTTTCATCTCACTTCATCATCCCTTGAAGCTCACAATAGCGTCCAATCAAAGACATGCACTGATGGTGTCGCTCGGGGATCATTTTCGGCCTTTGCGCGGGCCGGAAGTCATTGCCTAGCCACGGATCGCATGGCAGCATTAAGAGACGAAACACGGCAAGCCTAATTACGCCTGGCGACGCCACCGAAACTTCTTGCAGAGGTCAAAATCATACCGATCATATCAGAAGGAGCATACAAAAGACAGCTGCACCACCTATAGGCACAAGCGTCCTGATTCATCCATTAACTCCTACGCTAATGTAAAGTATATGCTTGATAAAATCAGAAATATGCGGATGACCTTTGAAATTCGACGTCACACGGTCGCTAGGTTTATGCGCAGTCCCGTCCCTCTGAGAGTCTCTACCACACTTCCTATCTTCAACATGAACTGCGCAACTTCGTAGGAGAAGCGCTCGTAATCACCATCTCCCAGAGACCCTTGCGCTAAATCGACTTCGATTACGACCTCAGTACGAGCGGTCTTGATGACAGTGAGGCCCTCAATGGTTTTGCAATACCGTCGCTCTTCAAACAGCCGCTTCTCCGGCAACAGAAACGCAAAGTCAAGCGGCCGAATCTGTATGTGCAAGCGTCTTGCGTAATGCGCTGGAATCATTCCCAGCCCGAAACCATCCGTTTCAAGAAACGGTTTGAGCATGAAGAGCTCGTGATGGGCAAACTTGAATGTACGTGTCCAGTAGTAGCATTCGAGCAATTCTCTAGCAACCTCGCTACCCAGACCTTC